CTTGAGCAGAAGCTGGCAGAGGTCAAAGAGCTCTACAGGCTGAAGTATGGTGATGAAGTTGACGACCAGGACATAGTGACATAGGGTTTGACATTTCCAACATAGGTGTCAGGCGTGCGACTTCCAGCCATCTTAGTGCGGTAAGGTGATGTTGCAGTTCGTTTTGGGCATTTATTGAAGACTTAGTGCTTTCGGCCCAAACAGTGTACTGTTGGAGTTCTCTCTTAGATCTCTTAGAAAAGAGAAGCTGGCCACAGTCTCTGGCCGCGCCGGTGAATGCTGTGTCCGGGACCCGTCCTCTTGTTGTCCTTGTCCTTGTTTTGGAGCTTGGCCGTGACTGCCAGGACCTTGTCCTCCTGTTGTCCTTTTCTTTTCCCTCTTTTCCAGCCTCTTGCTATCTTCTTGTCCTCTTCTTCTTCTGCTGGTGTCCAGCTTGGCCGCGCTGGTGAACCCTGCGTCCGCCTGCGGTCTTCTTCCAGCTTGGCGCGGCTGCTAGCCCGTCTCCAGTCTTTCTCCTTTCGAAACAATTCTAATTGAATTCTTCTTGTTACTAGTAGTAAGGCACTTGTTACTACTAGTAAGGCACTTGTTCCTAGTAGCGATGCGCTTGTTACTAGTCCTTTTTGTCCTCTCCCTGCCCTCTCCTTGTCCTTTTCTTCTCCTCCAGTTGTCCTCTTCGTGTTCGCCTCTTGAGCTCTTTTTGTCACGAAAGGTACTCACTCGCAGCCTGGTAAGGGCTACCTTGAGTTTGCTTTGCGAAGCAAAGCGGTAGCTTGATTATACAACAAATTATTTGGTGACCCCCCCCCTCGCCAGCACCACTAGCATCGCCCACCATAGCATAACGTCTATTCACTGGCAGCAACAGCAATGCCGTACAATGAGGTTGCGCAACACGGCTTTTACACAATGCATGCACATCTGCGGTCTTTTCAAAGCGCGTGCAGCTCTGAAAACCACAGCTCTTAGACTTGCCAGTTTACACGCCGCAGCTTGTATGCCAGCGTTCACACACCAGAGCTCTACACAAACGAAGGTTGACGCAACACAGCCTCTATGCAAAGCCCTGTTGACACACCTCACCACACCACATGCTGTAGCAACCTCTCCTCGCGACCCACGCCACACTGGAGCGCGCATGTGACATACAACCGCATTTACACAGCGCAGGGGCAGTTCACAGCTGCCGCGACATGATTTGACATATTTTCGCAGAAAGCAGTGCTTACACGTACAGCTTCTACGCCGAGCAATGCTCACGCAGCACAGGGTTTACATAAGCCCCTTCTTGCACCGCACCACACGCTGTAGCAACCTCTCCTTGCGACCCTGGCCACTCTTATGCGGATTGTGCGAGTGACATACGACCGCATTTGCGCAGACAGCTGTTACACAGCCCTGTTGCGCTTAGAGCGGCTTTCATATATTCCTGGTGACTCTCTACCTTTCGTGTTTCGCTGTCTCAAGTCCTGTTCATGAAGCAAAGAATTTGCGCAAGAAAAAGATAGCACATGAATCTGCCAGGTGGTTCTTGTCGAACAGTTCAAATTCGTTTTTTGTTGTGTGC